AACAGCAATGTTACAAATTTGTATTAAAGTCACTAAATATAGAAAGTACCGCAATCCATTGGGCTCGTGTGTTAGAGAGAGAACGCATGATTTTTGCCCAAAAATGGCGGAAGTTACCAGATTTTAGTAACTTTAATGTTAGGGATTGTTCCACCTGTTTGGAGATATCTGTATATATTTTTATAAAACATGACAGTACTATGAAGTTAGGTTATAAAAAATGACAGCTATTCAGATTTTATTTGTCAATTTTTTCAAGTTGGCAGCAAATTTGCCCAAAAATGGCGGATGATTGCGGTACTTTCTATATCTAGTGACTTTAATTTGTATGGTATTTTGGCGGAGCCTGGTGGGTGTACTGTGAACTAAAGCATCGAAATCAGAGTAGCGCCATCTGGTGACCAGCTTCTAAAGTCATGAAGTAATTTCCCAAATTCGATATAAATCATAAATATTGATAAAGAATACACAGTTGTTACATTAAAGTGTATTTAGATACAATCACATTACATTATTTAACACAGAGAACTTAAATTACATGTTTACAAATTACATATTGTATAAAACTCAGAAGTGAGTGGAACTTACGGTTTGTAGATGTTAACACTTTGAAGAAAGATCCTTACATAACAATTTGTCGTACGAAATATTTGGTTTTAATTGCTGTTTGGACTACATATTTTTGTTAAAAAATATCTTTAGAACTAAATTTCTTGTTCCAAGAGGTAATAAAACCGTTTCAGCAAATTGTCACACAAGTTTTTGACAACAAATGTTAACTTGATCCTGGTGCTTACTTGTTACTTGAGAAGCGAGGGTGGAAGTTGTTGAATTATCTAAAACGTATTTTGTATTCATTGTCTAAAAGGAATTACAATATAAGTATCTACGTCTATAATATAAAACTCAAGTCTACACCCTTTTGCGCCTATACCGTTGGTAATTTATAAATTCCATACCTTGCATAAATAGGAGAGAAAGAACAGCACATTTCAATCCTCTTCGCGTTTCAAGCACAAAACAATCTGTTTCAAAATATGAGAAACGATGCCTTTTTGATATTTTATCGTTACAATCCGCCACACAACACTATTTACGGTCACATAACTTGTTCATATTTTAAATCTTTCAAAAGTCAAAATTGACATGTGTAAAACTATGTGTACGTATAAAATCGACGGTAAAAATATTTCCTGTAAAGAGCAAAATTACAGGTTTTGCAAAAAAATATTTGAGTCTGCGATAAATAGTTCTCCGTACAACCACGGGAAACGCTGTAATCAGTGACAATTTAGCGCCATTTATGTTTCTGTTCTGTAAAGGTCTTATTCTGTGGGTGTATAACTACTTTTTGACATAAAATTTGACAGTTCTAACTTCCAAGATGACGACTGTACGCCATTTTTCAATGGAGATCTCATTTTGAAGTCATTGTAACCATAGTTCGCGTCCCGAGTTTCAACTCTCGCTACTACACTCTACTACTTTTTTCCTCGCTTTTTTCTCAGTCAGAAATGCAACACTCGAAAACCGAGGTAACATAAACATTTTTGTAACTTCGTCAGGTTGGAATTTGTTACGCTCCTTACCTTCGATATGAATTTTTTAAATTAAAAGATTGTATCAAAGAACAGTAAAGTCGTTATTTTATTATTTTTGTTACCTTTTACACGCCCTGTACAATGTATATAAATACAGGGTGCTCATGAATTCTATGATTCTATGATCGTTATTGCAAAATTGGGACGGATCATGTACATTGTTATTGTACTTTATTGTAATGTACAGGGTGGTTCAAATTCGTGGATCACCATTGGAATCTCCGATTCTCCGCAACCGTGAGAGATACACTGTAGGTTAAATTGGATCAAAGTTGCCCTTTTTTGTGACTCGTAAACGCTTTTGAAATTTTTGAAAAATCTTTCAATTGTAACGTCACCGAAAAACTGAAAATGTCAAAGTTCATTCTCATTTTCCTTAGCTTAAACGGGCGGAAATGGACACCTTCTATGGGCACTTTTTTCGGAGAATCTGAATCTGTTATCAGAATTTCCATAGCACGCTAGAAATAGTACAGGTTACTATACTTTCTTATTTTTTATGGACGCCATATTGGATTTGTACGGAATGAGATAAGAGGACACATAAAGAAAAATAATGACGTGTCGCACTATACTTTTACATAAATTTACAAAAAAACATTTTAAATCAGAAGTTTTACATTCATCGCAATATAGTGAGCGACGAATTTGAACCACCCTCTACAAAGGTCTGTCGAAACGGAGTTGAGCTAATAAGTATGTTCATGTATCAATGTTAGTTAACGTTTATTTTATTTATTTATTTATTTTTATTTACTACAAACTCTTACCGACCAATACTCAAAAAATCAAAAAAATTTGCAGATAACACTGAAATCGGTGTTTTACTTCGTGTTAGGAATAGTACGACCCTCCCTTGAAAAAGGCTCCCTCCACGAAAAATTGAAAAACTGGTTCGCTGTGGGGTGATACGGTAGAACCCTTGAGACCCGCTTTGATACAGGTGACAATTGTATGTCTCGTTCTCGTCCGAAATTTTCAGGATAATGAAGCTTGGCTCGGCTACATTAAAAACTTTCGTCATGGACGTAAATCGAGTTGTTGATAGTGCATAAGAATACAAAAAGTCAAATTCCAACTACCCTGCACACGCTATACTTTTTCCGCTTATTATTGGAGTTTTTTCGCCATCAGAATGCCACTCTAAATACTATTTAAACGTTTCTGATTTTCAACGAAAACTATTTTAGGACGGAGAGCCTGTTTATGCCAGCATTTTCGCCGTGTAACAACCGAGTTATCACTTAGCGATGAAACACTTGCATATGTTTACGGGCTGCACTAAAGCGAAAGGTCGCTATCGAAATTTTTTTTTACTAAAACTGCGTTACGTATTTTATTTCCGACTATTCGCACAATTTTATACACGAATTTAACTAGGCCTTAGTACAATTCAGACCCACAGACACTTTATAATTGTACCGCGCTTCACAAGATCCAGGCGATCGTAAAAATTGAACGGAGAACTCGCGCGCTATTGCTGTGTCAACTCGAGACATAGGCCAAAATACACTTACAAGTCCTACGTCACAGCAAGCTCGTCGAGAAATAAATGTCTTTGCTGACCCTATTACATTTATTTTTCAGAATTAAGAAAAGAAGATGTATCTGTGACCAAAGAAAATGACGTAGTATCAGTAACATGGAAAAATGCACCTAATTTTGATCATTGCAACATTACACTTCATTTGGACATATTTGATACTACTGGCCAACTATATTCAGCAAACACGTCTTTTCCCTCACACGACATTATATTTCCATTTATTGGGTGTAAAGTTTACAACTTGTCGCTTGTGGCTACTATGAACGTTTCAAGCGTCGTTCGAGTAACGTTCCCAATTGCGTTTACTAAAGGTAAGCAGGCTCAAGTTGTACATGCAGTACCTACATAGTATTATTTTTTAGAGCCCTCCCCACCTACCTGTAAGACGGCGGAAATAGGCACCTCATTCGCAGTTTTGGAATGTGCGCTGAATGATGAAGAAAGTCAGTGCGATCTTTCAGAACTGATAATCGATTGCAAAACCGAAAGTGGGCAAGAAATGAGAAAAATTGTGAATGCAGATCTCATTAGTGTGAGAATCGAAAATATGACCGCGTGCACCAATTACACTTGCGTCGCAATTGTTAAAGGTAGCGATGGGCAATTATCGCATCCCAGCACTTCCATACCCATAGAGACAAAGGAAGGAGGTAGGTACCACCATTTGAAATCGGTTATTTACTATACTGATTTTAGTACCAGACCCACCAACACTCCACAATGTGTCTTCCATTACAAATACGTCGTTTGTTATTCAGTGGGCGGCACCTACGAATATCAACGGTGTATTAACACGGTACCGCATAACCGTGGCCCCAAAAAATGCACGTTATTACATTCCCCAAAATTGTTCCTTCGACGATCGTATTCCTCAAGAATACGAAGCTGATCCTGAAATTAGCAGTCTTACTGTTGCGGATGCGCTTTCCTACTATGAATATGAGGTGTTTGTTGAAGCGAAGACATTTGCATATGGACCACGAAGTGAAGTGAAACGAGTGTTAACCACTGGAGGAAGTATGATTTTAGTAATATATATAAGACTTTTAATTTATGTTATTATATTGTTGTATTGTAGTACCCGGTGAACCGCAAGATGTTGTCTTTGATCTGATAGACGACAAGAGAGTTGCCATAAGGTGGAGGTATCCATGTCCGGCAAATGCAGCAATTGACCACTTTCATATTCAGCTTTTTGGAGATCCTCAGGCCGACTACCAGGTGCCGCAAACCAATTCTACCCATGGGACTCTTGCGACGAATACATCAAGCTACCATTTTATCTTTATTAACTTACAACCTGCGTTTAATTATACCATCGCCTTGAAATCTGTAAGCGTATCGGATAATTTAGAGAGTGCTACAGTTGTGGGTAACTTCCAAACGCCCGAGCATAGTACGTACGAGCTGTGAGTGGGCACACAAACTGTCTGATTTAGTTCCAGAATCTCCCACAATAAAAACCGTGACGAAAGTAACCGCAAGAGCGTTTACCATAGAATGGGAGGAACCAGTTAGAAAAAATGGCAAAATTGTCGGGTATTACCTTCACATATTGAACAACGGTCCGAACCATCTGATCCCTACACTGTGCGCCAAGGATACAAACGCTTACGAATACTTCGTCGGTCCGAGCATTTTATCTTACAGGTTCGAAAAAGGCACGCCCAATTACAATTACACGATCGCAATACAGGCCGCTACAAAAGCAAAAAATGGCACATTGAGCGACCCGTATAATGTCGTTACGAGTGACTCAGGTAATTATATGAGCTTTCACAATGGCTGAGTAAATTGTTTGTCAATCATTGATTCAGTACAGTAATAGTTATTTATGTACGACTGCTTGATAATACGATGATTATAGTCGCTATTAGCGGCCATAATTTGCAATAATATGGCCTAGGCCATAATGATAAAGTTAAACGGCCGCCTGTCAATGTGACAGTCGTAGTTAGGAGTCGATTCAAAGTAAATTGGTTTTGAAAAATGTAGACTTGGTGGAACTATAACTATATATATTGCTAATTAATCGAAATGTTAAATACATAATTAACATTGTTACTGAACCACATATTGGTTCTAGTGATTTATTCGTACGTTCGGTGTCTTAATTGACAATCTACTGCAACTGCAATCAACGCAACGCTTCGTATTTTCATGAATGGCTAGATAAGACTTATAATATAGATGACATCTGTTGTTGCAGTCCTACATAAAGCTTTGTATATATCGCGTCCATAAATAGGCTTTATGGGGACTCGCCTTGTTTATTTGTGCCTCGCTCGCAAGCTCGCTCGGCTAAATAAACGGCTCGTCCATAAAGACCCAGTTTATGTACTTGATATATAAATAGCTATTACATAAAAGTCCAGAAAATGATACATTACTCGCGAGGAAATATTTGTGGCCGAGTACTTTAATTTCCAAGTCAGGTAATGTCATTTTAGTGACGAGTTTTGTATTAAATTTTACCCGAAATCGTATTTTAATATAAAATTTAATTTTTATATAAAACTTTTGATTAATGTCAATCTGTCTGTGATGACAGGAGTCATTATACATTTATACACATTTGGAAATGTCAAAAATGCGGCCGGTAAAGTGACGGTGCGGCCGATAAATTGACAAGCGCCAGGAAACGTAGTCTGTTCTACCTCTGTCATGGAAACCAAAATTTCCTGACAGAAAGTACGCACTGAGAAAACGCTGCCAATTAAAGCGGCTGATTGAAAATACTATACTTGTCATAATTAGAAATTTTTAGCCACAACAAATTTATATATTTACCATTATTGAGTACTAAAATAACCGCAAAAGGATCAGTTTTGCTGACCGTGTTTTGTAATGATAATTTGTCAACCTGCTTGTTCTAAGCTAACATTTTTGTATGAGAGTCTTTTTACACAATTTAGTAGTAACCACAATTAGATTTCTTGAATTATTGCTTATCCAATACAGACATATTATAAGCATTAGTAAACGGTTTAATTGTAGCACTTCATCGATAAGCTAATAACATTATGTTTCCCAGTTAAGTGAAACACTTTGCTTAAGCTAAGCTAGTATTTTGTACACGTATAGTTGTCGCAATTATATTTCTTATTGTTTTTCCTAATAATTCAAGCGTATAATAAGTGTTAGCAGACTGTTTAATTGTTACAATTTGTAAATGAATCATTGTAAGTGGATGGCAGACGAGATGGCAGATTAATTTTTGTGCAATCAGCAAACAGAAGTGCGGATCGTTCATTCACGCGTGGGTTTGTGAACAGTGAACAGTTCCTGAATTTGGTAACATTTTTAAAATATCAATAAATAACTCAAACCAGGTATGTTTTATTAGTAAAAAGTTGAAAGTAGTTGAATTTCATACGCACAGCTTTTCTTATGAGGTTGAATTTACAGAAACCAAGGTGTGCCTCTTTTTAGACGATATTGAAAATATTGACACTTATTCCATAGTCAAGCATGATAACAAAATGTTTATCACAGTGTTTTGAAATATTGGATTGTTTAAACTTTTTAGATATTTAATTAAGGATCTTTTTTCTTTGTAAAGTTGACATTCTTATTGGCATACTTTTTCCAATAACTGAATAATGTATTTTTCTGTGTAATTTTTAGTCAAATGAGTTTTTATTTTTATAACTACTTTACTTACATGTAGAGTGAGTAACTCGGTGAGTAATATTCCGTTGTCATTATTTTAATGTTCAATTAGTAAATATAAGTTTTCTATCTGTTTAGAATATCGTTTAGTTCGTTTCACTAGGTAGCTGCGCCTATACCTACTTGTATATTTTTTATTTCGTTTATATATAAACTATACTACAAAAACATTTATTTTTATGCATAAAAATAATTTTTTTTTTGTACCTATGGTTCAATTTTTTTAGAGCGAGTTAAGTAAGTGATTCAAATGCCATTAATATAGCATTCTACGCTTGTGACTCTTCAAGTGAAGTGGGCCCTATAAAGCTTCTACTAATCACAACTTTTCTTTTGATTAGAGGTTATTAGACAACTTTATAGCCGGAAATAAAAAATATGCTAACCATACTAGCATTCATATTATAGCAGTCAAGTTAAAGCTAATACATATCTACTAATCCCAACTCATCTTCTGACTAAGGGTCATTAAAGAACATGAATACTGCCAAATAAAAAATATACTAACCACTAGTACACTTACAATAGTATAGCCAAAGTTTCTGCTAATCGCAACTATTGTGATGAATAAGAGTTACTAAAGAACAGTATGCTGGCAATTAAAAATTTTGTCAGCACTAGTAGATAAATATAATATAGCTATCAATCTTAATTATGCAGGAGGCTACTGGTAAGAAAATATACTTACTTACCATAGCTATGCGCTATTCCCTAAAATTTAACAAAACCATTTTGATAGCCATAACAAAGCAACTGATTTGGCGCCTATTTAAGTCAGATATTTTATTGCTGCAATTAAATTTTTTTTAATCATTAGTAAACTGTTCTTTCAGTGCGCATAAAAAATTTCAGGACGATTTCTTTATGTCAGGAAAGTTTAGTTTCCATGACAAAGGCAGACCAGATTGCTTTTCCTGCCGCCTGTCACTTTACCGGTCGCACTTGTCACGTTACCGGCCGCACCTGTCACTTTTCCGGCCGCACCTGTCACATTGCTAAATGTTTGTAATGGCTCTGTCATAACTGACAGATTGACATTAGTCAAATGTTCTATATGAAAATTGAAATTTTGTATTAAAATACGATTTTTAGGTCGGTAAAGTTGAACCGTTTCCCAGATCTCTCGATTTCTGAAAAAAACCACCTCTCTTTAAAAGGGATGAAAAATCTATTTTTTTACATCGTACAAAGGTGCGCGGGGTAGCAAAATTTTCGTAAGTAGGTAAATAAGCTTTTTTTGCAAATAAATTAACGTAGGTACTGGATCCGCGTTAATAAAAAGTTTTTGGAATCTGTCTTCTCTCACCTCTTTAATGTTGCTAAAATATTTTCTTTTGTTTCATAGTGCCCAACTGCCTTAATTAAACATCCTTATTATTTTACCGCAATAAAAGCAATTCGAAGTAAAATCGAATTCTTTTGCTTCCTGAACAATTTGTTTTTGTTCACTGACTCTTCTTCCTGCCTGTTTTACAGCTGATGGGATTAAGCTGGGCGTGTTGATGGTTAATTTACAGGAATTATGAATAAAATCCTCATAAAGTTTACCTATTCCTGGTTTTACATCTCAAATCATTTGCTTTAGCAGGTAAAACTACCGTTCTTATTGCAGATTTTGCAAGTTTATCAACAGGCCCAACCCAATTGCATCAGCATAAAACAGGCAGGAAGAAGACTCAGTGAACAAAAAGAAATTGTTCAGGAAGCAAAAGAATTCGATTTTACTTCGAATTGCTTTTATTGCGGTAAAAATGCAGATAAAAGAAATAAGAAAGATTTGAACATAAGATAGCAAAAGAGAATATTATTAAGCAAACATTAAAGAGAAGCAAGAAGACATCAGATTTCGAAAAAATCTTTATTAACATCCAACAATGTTGATTTATCATGTCAAACAACCGTGTACATTTTAAAACTGTTTTTCCAGTTTTTGGCGATTTTCTCGAATTTTTGCTATAGGAATAATATTTTTTTATTTTTGTTTATTAATTTATAAGCCTTCCCGAAAATTTTGCTACCCCGCGCACCTCTGCACGATGAAAAAAATAGATTTTTCATCCCCTTGCAAAAGAAGTGGTTTTTTTCAGAAATCGTGAGATCTTGGAAACGGTTCAACTTTATGGGCCCAAACAATTATTTTCTGTTTTATCATAAAACAGGCTATGTTTCCTCCAAATTTCAGACCCCTACGACATTTTTTCGCAAAAATGAGAATAAAAAACGAAAAAAACAGTTTTCTTCCGGTTTTTCTAGGAAAATTGGAGGTTATGTGAAAATAGTGCAGATACAAAAGTTGCTCATTTTTTTAATCTCTGTAACTTTTACATTTAACATTTTCGTCTAAAATTAATAATTTTGCCACAATTTGCAAAACACCACTTTCCACCCCTTTCAACCCGCGGGATTTCACCCGCGGAAAAATTCAGCTGTTTTAATTATTTTTCCCAATTTCTATTCAGTTCACCTGCCTGAAAAACCCGGTTTCGCCCGGCAACTAATTTTTTTGTAAAAAAATATATAGCCTGGACTATTATATTGCAATCTTTGTGAAGTTCCTACATTTCATACACTTGCCAGTTCAATTGATAGGGAGGATGCATTTTTCATAAGTGTGGTTGCTAATAGAAAGCAAAATGCTAGGTAAATTTCTGTAAAAAGGTCCGCCAAGTGTGATTGGAAGATTAACACCCGAATTATTGTCTCTTATTGCCTATAGTCATACGGAAATAGAAATCTGCCTCAAAAGGTTATAATTTTTCGTCGATCTATGGATTTGTGGGTGATGTGTTGTCCTGGCTCTCTTGTTAGTTGCTCTAGATTGCCACCCTCTCATTCAAAAATTGTTTGGAAGATTAACACCCGAATACCCTTGCAGGTATTTATTAACTTTAACTTTTTTTTTACTGTCAATTCACATAATTTTAAATTAAATTAAAACGTAGGTATTTGTTAAGTAGGTACAATAGATTGATAAGCTAAATTGCAATTCCTCAGTGATAATTTTGTTTTTTAACTGACAAGTGATAACACATCTCTTATCTCAACTAAATTTCTCGAGTATGTGAACTTTGTGATGCATTATGTTACCTTATGAACATCATTTTTCCAAAACTATATTTAACAAATTTAAGTTACGAAAACAAACTCAATATTCCCTCCTTTCGATAAACATAGATAAGTGGCATAAAAGATTTTCTGTCTCAAAACCAAATGGACCTTAAAAAATTCAATTTGCAGCAAAACCTCCAGTCTCCTCAAATCTTAGAAAAATGATCTTTTTTTTGGCCCTCTCAAAAATCTTGCTAGCTAGGTAAATGATTAACTAACAATTAAAGACATAAATCAGCCTTGAGAAGTCAGACACTAATCGTCTCATTTATTTAGAATCAGAAGAGGTACGGGACATAAAGATTGTATTCATTAACAAGCAACAGGAGTACTACAACGGCCATATTAACATTAATTTCCAAGTTCCTTGCAACACGAACGGTCATTTTGAACGAATAACTGTAATACTGATTGGCAATCGAGCCGACAAAGAAACCCACAAAGTTACACAAAGCATAGACTCGCTGATTCCCGAGTATAATTTTTTAATAAACGTGCAGGCCGAATACCACTACGAGTTAACTGTGCAGGTGGTTACCACAAACTTTATCACACCTACTGTACAATATTTTACGAGCCCATCGGGTGGTAAGTTATTAACTTGTACCATCGTGTACTACTACAGTTGAAACACAGTGCCACCGCTTGGAGTGTACCTTCTGCAAAAGCCAACTCAAGTAACTCCAACGCTGGCCAAAGTAAACATATCAAAGCAGCTGTTCGATGACATAGCGGGTGATGTGGTATATTATTCTGTTATAATCGGGCAGCCACCTCACGAGGAAGAACCGAAATATGGATTTTGGAAAGGGGACAGTACAACGTGGCCAGAAATACTCGCCGTTAATGCGTTTGAGCTAACACCTAAGTTTTGGAATCCGTTCTTAAGTACAACCTTACTCCAATCGCACTTGCACTTATGTATATCTATAATTACAGATGGCAGCAAGTCAGTGTACACCTGTGTAATAGGCGAAGAGGACCAGTATGCATTGCACACAAATGTATTATATGCGTTAAAAGTTAGAGGGTTTACGAAGGATGGCTACAGAGATACTGGTAGTGTCACATTCCAACTAACAGGTTGGTACAATTTTAGTATGCCATTTAGTTCACACCATGCACCAGCTACTACTTTCGAGTATCGATTCGCGCGACTGTAAATGATCAAACAAATAATGCAGACATTTTTCATGTTTTAGAAGATTACAACTCAACTGCACTCATATTAGGCTCAATCTTTGGCGTACTCGGTAGTGCAATGTTATTAGTAAGCGTTTGTATATTATGGAGGAAGAGAAGGAAATGGTAACTAAACAAGCCTACATAACAGAAGTATTCAAAATAACATTTAGGGCCATGGCAAAAGAATCGGTGAAGTCAATACCATTGTCACCAATTCCGATATCGATTAAAGGATTCCCACAGTATTACAGTGAACTGAACGGTGATGCGGAGAAATTAAAGCACGAATACATGCTGCTTACAAGTAAAAGCAATGAAATAACGTTGAGCAACTCTGTTGGTGTAATGGCACAAAACAAAAAGAGAAATCGATACACGAACGTTATCGCCTGTAAGTCTCTTTGCTTTCGCATATGTAAATGTAAAGGAACATTCCGTAGATGATCACTCGCGAGTCATTTTAAAGGAAGTTGACGATTCTGGTACGGACTATATCAATGCTTCTTACATACAGGTTGATTCTCCTGTTTATATATACACAATAAATTTTTGTCTTGAAGGGCTTTACTGGTAATGTTGAGTACATTGCTACACAAGGGCCATTAGAGCAGACTGTGATTGACTTCTGGAAAATGGTGATTCAGGAGAATGTGTCTTTGATCGTAATGGTAGCTCAATTTGTTGAACAAAACAAAGTATGTGCAATGATGGAATTTTGATTGTTACCATTTGGTTAATCTTTTAGGATAAATGTTATAAATACTTCCCTAATAACCACGAGAATATGGAGTTGGCAAACGGCTTTACAATACGCTGCTGCACCGAATTGAATTTTAACACTTACATCGTTCGAACTATAACAATTCAAAATGTAAACGACTCGCACGTTAAAAATTGTTTCCTTTAGTCTCATTGTAGGAGATAAAGCAATGGACGATCACACACCTTCAGTTTACAGACTGGCCCGATTTTGGGTGTCCCAACGGAACAGAAATCATGCTCGAGTTCTGTCAGTTAATGAGGGAATACGCCGAAAAAACGTCCGCGCCGATAGTACTGCATTGCAGGTGATTTTTTAGCGATGCTTGTGCGATTTTCAAATGTCATTTGTATTGCAGTGCAGGGGTTGGTAGGACGGGTACTCTAATAGCTTTAGATATACTATTACAAGCTATACATGATAATAAAGATATTGATATTTTCAATACAGTTTTAAATTTGCGAAGGGATAGGAAAAATATGGTTCAAACTGAGGTGAGTTCCAATGGTGATCTTTCTAAACTGACAGGTTATTTTAGAAGCAATATTTGTACATACATAGCTGTATAAATGATGCGATTGAAAATCCGCTACCTGTTAGTAATGGTAAGTAATTAGTTAAGCTCATTAAAGGTTGTGAATTGAGACGTCGGGGAAACGTTTCTTCAAGTTCACGTTGACACGTAAACATTGTAGAAACAGTCTTGAGGTAGGTTGAAACGACTAAGCGAACTTTTTAATAAAATTTCAATGCATGGAATGCTATATAATCCAGTTCAATTGTATTTTTACCAGGAAAGTTGTGGGGTAGTTTTGATTTCTTCGATTCTATATGTTTTTTGGGGTGAGGCTTGCTAACAAAATTTCATGACGCAACATTGAATTCCACTATTTAGTTTTTTTCCTCGATAAACCGTTCGGGCTCAAGCGCCAGTTGAAAATTGGCGTATTTCGGCTGTCTCCACAAAACATAGTTTTTTCGCACTAAAGCCCTAAATTAATATTAAGCGTTGTCAATAAGTGAATTCCTTGCATTTACCTACTATTATTTGAATTTTATATGTAGGTAAGGGTGTTTTTTTCTCATTTTCATAACGTTCAAGGTGTTTATTGTAGTCCAGAATTGTATGAAAAGTTAATTTCTAACGAACAACAGTCATCATATTATCATCAATCATATTATTATATTATTTATAATATATAATACTTATACTGTGCTATCTAAAATTATTCCCACTTTCTTCCGAACCAGATAAAGAAATCACAAAACCCTACCATAGCATGTTTGGATAATTATTGTTGAATTTGGGAAAGTGGTGCTGTGGTCATTATTAATTCAAAAAATTCAAATGGCAAAAGAGGTATATTAATTTCCTATTCAACGGCATTATTCCTCCTGTTTCGGTGTTCTGAAGAATCACGTACACCTCGGAGTGGGGTAACGCAGGTTACCCCAGCTTAAATTTGTCTGCTAACAACTGAACCTGATTTATTTCTTTTCTGTTTACATGTTAACCAGCGACAAAAAGCGAGTTCATGATTTTGGACTGTCCGTCCGTCCATCTGTGTAACTTTGTGCGCTTGTGTATGTATGTGTATGGGAGGGGGGCCTCAAGACTGCAAACGTAGGTACACGGGGACGAAATGGGCCTTGGCTCATCTGTGAAGGAGTGGGAGAGTTTTATACCAGACGGAACAGTTATAAAATCTTTTGAGACCGGTAGACAATGAAAAGCACGGGATTTATATTATTTGCACAGAATAATAATAAAATAATAATAAATGATGAGTATTTGGGGATACAGCCGAAATACGCCAATTTTCAACTGGCGCTCGAGCCCGAACGGTTCATCGAGGAAAAAAACTAAATAGTGGGGTCTGTAGGAAATTTTAAGTACTTTCATTTTGAATAGGGAGGTTATTTTCGAAAAGTTGATAGTTTTCAAGTTGTAAGCACAAAACTGCCAAAAAAATATCTTTTTCAACTTCTTTTGTATTTTTTTCAATGTTGTGTCATGAAATTTTGTTGGCAAACCTTAGATTCGGATTCAGCACCACAAAAAACATGTAGAATCAAAGAAATCAAAACTACCCCACAACTTTCCCGCTAGATGCCCGTTTGAGCACAAATGGCCTGTATTAATAGGCAACTAACATTACACGCGACAAATGAGAGTTGCCTTTAAAATTCTTTCTTGGCCAAAGCATTGTTCAAATACTTTAATCAAAGAGTATCCATAATAAGAGATTCAACGGCATAGAGAATAGTGTTGCATATGTATTCTGTGTTGCCTAACAAATGTTACTGCTTTTTCTCAATTTTATTGGCGTACGCTACGCCTAAGGGGCTATTTCAAGGCAACTACTTGTTTAGAAGTTTACAAATATCATTGCACAAATCCCAGCGTTGCCAAATGTTTAGTGTTTGCTTGTACTTATTTAGGTATCTATTATTCCTTGAAATGTATGATGTTTGAGATATGTTATTCCATTCTACGCTTATGGCACAATTTATTAAGGTCCGAACGCTTGTTGGTTTGATTCATAGGTGCGAAGATATGTTCTTCATGTAACAATAAGCCGTTTATTGAGCGGTAATTAATAGATTTTTTAGTGTGTATTGTGTATTCCCAGTAATCGCGAGTAATAAGCTCGCTTTGATTACGTCTCTGCCCTTTGTACACACTGTTCGTCGCCCTACCGTCGACGGACGTATGGAAAAGTCGACCGAACTATATAGATCGTTTAGTTAGAGGAAGTAGTCTAACGAACGATATTTACTTCCGACTTGCGCGGAAATATAAACGAACATTTTTTTAAAAAAAAGGGCAATAGACGTTTTATAGCATTTATTGTACAAAAGATAATGAAAGATTCCCGGAAAAAATGTTGCAATCACTTTTTAATTTTTACCGGCCAAACTATAAACAATATAATAAATCCAAAATAAACTGCCTCAATTGGATTATAGTTGTGATCGAATCGTTAAAATCAGTTAAAAATGTGAACTGTGGACCAACGCAACCCCTGACGCAACCCCACCTCTTTAAAAATGGTTTCTTTGCGATAACTGAAAAACTACTTGACCGATTTGGACCATATTTTTTACCAGTCGATGTGACTAATGTCCCCTTTAATCTCATTACATTTCAGTCCGATCGACCCACGCCTTCCGGAGATATTTAAACGCTCCAGAAATCCTATACTTGGAGTGGAAGCCAATGTTGTTTTCAAAAATGAGAACATACACTGCATTATCAATCGTTTAGATGGATGAATCACTAGCAGAATGCGCAGTGCCTTAAGTTGAGCGGCAAATTTAAATACATATACTTATGTGTTTTTCCGCTACTAACCAATGGTGACAAACATGTGTACGACGCTTAGTTGCTAGGAGACCGATGCGCGCTAGTGCTGCAGCTTAAAATGCGGGTCGAGAGTATTTTTTTTATTGAATTGTTTAAATGAGAATAACGTGTAAATATTTAATTAAATTTATTCGACGGGTGCAGATTTATTAATTTATTATTTAACTGCACTATATATTTTGACTGATTATTCGATTAGACTGATGTTTTTTTTTCTGAGGACATAAGGATTATTGCATTGTAATGATTGATTGTTAATGATTAAACAACTCAGCGTATGTAGGCATCTATACAAAATTAAAGCAAACAAAATTTCCTGTAAAACAATCGCTATGCTCATCATAAAATCCAATTTTATGAAATATGTTGTCTACTTTAACTTTACTGTAGTAGACTATCTAAAAAGGATGAATAATAACAAATTTAACTTACATTTTTACAATTTTATTGTACCTGTTTTGGTTATTAAATTAAATAGTAATTACTGTGTATTCAATAGACGCCCACTAAACAGGAAAATACCAATGTAATTAACAATAGGTACTGATGCTGATTTCTTTTATACTTAAGTAATGTTTTCTAATTATATCATGTCCACATTTTATACAGCCAATAAGAAAGAAAATTAAATGTGACAACCGCGCAAATATTTTAAACCGAAATTCTATAAAGAATTCTGTAAATTTTCAATACGCGCCAATATTTAAAGAGGCGGTTAGTTCTGGCCACCTCTACGCGAGGGCCCGCTTTTGGAATCCTAGCGGGCGAGTTCTTATAGCCAACACGCGTTTATACCATTGCGCTGTATCTCTTATTAATTTATTATGGGTACTCTTTGCTTTAATTTAAACAATGTTTCGAGTGCTCCCGAATGGTCTTGAACATTCTATAACAAAACACATCACATTTTCCGGAAAGATTACATCACAACCGCGTTTGTTCTTTATCGCCGATTACTAATCTTTTATGGCGCCTCGATATCTATCGGGATTTTTGGAATATGCGCTACATACTTTCTTACTATATTAGGAATTTTTTCAATTTATGTTATATCGTGATCGTTTGATCTTAAAAATAGAAAACTCCGTCGGTGTTTTACATCCGTGATTCGTCAGTCACTAAATTTGAGTAATTTTGCGCCCCTTCTTGTCTGCCCCGTAAGCGGAGGGTTACATCGCTTACACATATATAAAGCCGGTCCCGGACATGAATATAATTAATTTATTCTGTATTGAAGAATAAAAAAAACATACGGGATGTTTTATTAAAAAGTTTGGTAGGTAGATGACGGCAATTACAGGCCAAACCGGAAGTCACAAAAAATAAATTGTTCTTTTCAAAAATTTGCAGATAATTGCTCGTTGCGGGATTTTGTGTGTACAACAAATTCTGTATTTTGCTTAGTCTACTTGCGCAATCCTTGAAGATTTCCCCAAAAAGCATTGTTTATTTAAACAATGCCCAAAGATTTTAATTCCAAGTAAGTAGTGTGATAATTTCGCATAACTTATATCGTTGCAAAAATTTCTTATTTTCAGCCGTATGCCATTATTTGGTCACCCGGTACGTCACTGCTGCTTTCCAACAGACCCCCCTACTCCATTTTTGTTACGCACCTTCTACATATTAACTTATTCTTAATGTCTGCTATTAAAATTGTATGAAGGAAAGTGTCACAAACTGCTGACGCACTCGTGGCCCAAAATAATTTTCGAAATCTGGATATGTTGTTTATGTAATAAAACATTTTATACTAACAGAAAATAATTTATTATTACAGTCTTAATAATAAAATATGTACAAAATCAATCACAGTCAAGTAGGTACCCACACTAAAATGCTTTAATCGACTTCTTCAATCGTTGGGCCTTGCGTGTTAAATCGCCCCGCTTGTTGACCACAGTTTCCTGGCATAGGTCCATTTTGCTGTCCCACACCACCTGATGCGTATAACTTGGACATCATTGGGCTGCATAAATTTGTAAGCTGTTTCTGTTGATCTTCGTACTCCTCTTTCTCCGCAAGTAAGTTATTGTCCAACCATTTTAAGCATCCAGCACATGCACTTTCCACTGTTTGTTTATCTTCTGCTGATAGTTTATCACCAACGTCACTAAGCGCTTGTTTTAAATTGAAAACGTAACCTTCCAGTTGATTGCGGGCTGCAATTCGGGCTCGTTGCTTTTCATCCTCCTCTTTGTATTTCTCAGCATCCGCCACCATTTGGTCGATGTCTCTCTGCGATAGACGGCCTTTGTCGTTCTTAATTGTAATTTGTTGCGATATTCCGGAGCTGGTGTCCTTGGCGGAAACGTTTAGTATGCCGTTAGCATCCATGTCGAAGGTAACTTCGATTTTGGGAACACCTCGCGGTGCTGGTGGAATTCCGGACAAGTCAAAATTGCCAAGTAAATTGTTATCCTTTGTCATGGCTCGTTCGCCCTCGAATACTTGAATCGTAACTCCAGACTGATTATCGGAGTTGTGAATGTTTGGGTTTGCTTGCATGGGATGCGAGAGTTGCGTTCGATGATTTTCGTCATGACACCGCCGGCAGTTTCGATGCCCATGGAGAGGGGAGTGACATCGACCAGTAGAACATCTTGTATTTTATCGCTTGTGTCGCCGCTAAGGACTGCTGCTTGCACTGCTGCACCATAAGCAACAGCTTCATCTGGATTTATTGATAGATTCAACTGCTTGCCACAGAAATAATTTTGCAGAAGCGATTGAATCTTTGGAATTCGAGTAGAGCCACCGACAAGTACAACATCGTGAATTGATCCCGCCTTGTCCATTTTTGCATCTGCGAGTGCTTTCTCAACGGGTTGTAGTGTTCCACGGAATAAATCGGAGCACAATTCTTCAAAGCGAGCTCTGGAGATCTTCGTGTAGAAATCGATACCATCAAATAAAGCGTCAATTTCTAAAGTTGCCTCGGTGCCGGATGACAATGTTCGTTTTGCTCTTTCCGCAGCTGTACGCAGACGACGTAAAGCTCTCGGGTTGTTACGTATATCTTTCCTATATTTCTTTTGAAATTCTTCGACAAAGTGGTCAACTAGACGGTTGTCAAAGTCTTCTCCTCCGAGATGAGTGTCGCCAGCAGTAGATCGCACTTCAAACAACGAGCCTTCGTCGATGGTAAGTATGGATACATCGAAGGTGCCACCGCCCAAATCAAAAATGAGAACGTTGCGCTCACCTTTGAGGTTTTTATCCAGGCCATAAGCAAGAGCGGCGGCCGTAGGTTCGTTGATAATTCTCAAGACGTTTAATCCGGCTATAACACCAGCATCTTTTGTAGCTTGCCTCTGGGAGTCGTTGAAATATGCCGGTACAGTAATAACGGCGTCTTTGACTGAGGTGCCCAAGTAAGCCTCAGCCGTTTCTCTCATTTTCGTGAGTACCATTGAACTTACTTCTTCTGGGGCGAATTTTTTTGTTTCGCCCTTAAAATTAACTTCCACTTTCGGCTTACCCCCATCACTTATCACCTTGAAAGGCCAGTGCTTCATGTCTTGTTGGATTTTTGGATCGTCGTATTTTCGGCCGATGAGTCTTTTCGCGTCGAAGATGGTGTTGTGGGGATTCATGGTAACTTGATTTTTGGCCGCATCGCCGATGAGCCTTTCGGTGTCTGTAAAGGCCACGTAACTTGGCGTTGTTCTGTTTCCTTGGTCGTTGGCGATGATTTCCACCTTTCCATTTTGCCACACGCCTACGCAGGAGTAGGTCGTACCCAAATCAATTCCAATCGCTGGTACTTTAACCATTTTTTCTTCAAAATATCACGAATAATTTCTTATTCACACTTATAGTCACAATAAGTACGCACAAATGTATCGTTAGTTTATATGTTCACTCGCTCAAGTTTTGAACTGTTATGAAGTTGCGCGCCTCGAAACGCTTATATATGCGGAGGCCGATTGTTCACGAGCGGTCTCGAACTTTCTAGAACGTCTATAAAATGTGATTGATGGAATACGAAACGCGCGCCTAGCAAATGCAGGAATATTCTAGAAATATGGAATGAATTATTTCTTCTCATGATTTGATCCGCTTGTCACAAGAACGAAATGTTTCTATAATTTATATACAATTTCATATCCTTCGCATTTTAAAAACCATGTTTCTAGAATACTGAATTATTTTCGAGGCGCGCGTTCAAGAATGTTCGGGAACAAAATGACCATAATAGCATATACAGGGTTAGGAAAAATTACCAGAACGGTCGATTGTATATAAGAATTGTGTAGGGCTGTTAAAAATGTAGGTACATATCTGTGATAAACTGAAATATACCGGCTATATTATTTTAAATGCAACACCCTGTATATTACTAGTTATTTTGATTGTTGACTTACTACTTAAATTCGTTTCCAGATATCATATTTTGATCAGTTACAAAGCACAAACTAAATTTCAAGAAACAATTACAAAAACGTATAACAAAGCCTGGCAAAACGGCTCTATTTTATAATGGATGTTGAAAATGACTCCCATTACTCCAACTCACAATGATACAAGTTATTTGTTGCTCTGATATCAAATCTATATTGAGCATTTCTAGAAGATCCAATTATGAGAGTCAACCTTATAGGAAATAAATATAATGCCACTTGTTTGGTAAAACTTTACATTATTCTAACTTGTGGTGATTGATTAACTTGTTTCTAATGACATCAACATCATATATCATCGATTCCTTCTTGTCCTACCATCTGATCTCTGATAATCAACATGAATTAAAATAATTTTTGTTTATTTATAGGACGAACAAATATGGAACCTATATATGAGAATGTAGAGGATATTAAAAAAGAATTGAACGAGCATACCATTACAGAAAGCCAGTTTTAAAACATGCAAGATTAATCACGAAATTTTTCAGCTACAAAACTTGGCTGTGATTTTTATATGTAGGAAGGTAACATTAATTGTTTAACACATAATAACGCTTTCAGTATTTGTTTCCATGTAGTTTGTAATATTATTACGAGAGAAAAGTCGTATGAAGTTTGTTACAAATTGATGAGAGTAGGTACCTATATTTATTGTTAAAAAATTGAGTACATACAATCTATTTTAATGTATTTATTGTAAATAAAGTGCAGAATATATTTTTAATAATGTAGTTTGTTATGTTAAATGTAACCCAAAGTGTTTGTGTACTTTCTTGAACTGGTACCAAAAGGGTAACCATTGTTTAATGGTGCCGTCAAACCTTTGTTGTACCTACTCCAGAATTTGAGCGACCGTCTGTTTCTTTAAAGACGACTTCTACTATCAAAATGAGCCCGACACAATCTGCTAAATTTGTTACCTACACTCCTCACTCTTCTGTGATGACGTCTTTGCCGTTGGATGGATCTTGAACGATTAGCATCTCATAGATCTAGCCAACTAATTTTACTTTTACTGGAGCAACTGCCAACTGGCCTTGATTTGAAGTGAATTCTTCTGTTCTTGCATTGCATCCACTTCTGAAGTGCAGTTAAGTATACCTGTCGACCCAGTACCCTCGCTGCGTTCCATTTACGTTGTTTCTGTGCCATTTTGCAATAATGTTCGTTTCGAGTCGCGCAACCAACACCGGTCAAGTTATTTCACTGAAATTTTGACATTTGATTCTACTACTAAAACCTAACGCTCATGTAAATTCAGCAATGGGGGCATCCTGGTTTCATTTTTTGTTTCTGATCTATAAAGTACATTAAAAATAAAAAGACCCGTGTGTCCTCAATTTTTGTTTGCGAGTAAAATAAACCCAAAATAAATTATTGAAAAGCTGTGTTTAAGTCCGAATTTGAAACGCTTCAGTCTAAATACGTCACGAACCTACAACCAATCACGTAGAAGTGAGCTGGCAACCTTGCGCGAGAGTCTGACGTTTTTTCGGATTTGACGTTTATGATTTTGTTTACCTTTTTTAACAGCTTTTTTAAATTTTGCTTTGGGGTTTATATTATATTATTTAGGCCTACGTGAGACCGCGATGGCTTTTGCAAATGGCGGACAGTAGTTTCCTGTTCCAGTGGCGTAGCTACCTTACACTTGTAGAAGAATACAATTATAAAGAATTTTACACGAAAACAATCTAAACCTCCATGTGTCTACTCCGCCTATGACTTTTGTTTAACTAACCTCAAACTACATTCCGATAAAAAATTTGTAAATTTACATGTACTATATAAAAATAATATTGGTATCAATACTCAGACATGAAATGTAATTCCCAAACTTTTATTTTTTTCCGTTTTGGAGCAACCACAAGCACAACAACTAACCATTATTTTATGTCACTGCAAAAACTACAACAAAAGTGAGTCATAAGTGGATTTTGCAAATGGTCGACTTCTGTCCCACTCTCTCTTGTATACAACCTGAGTAAGTTATACCATAAACGTGAACCTAAGTAATGCTCCTGGTATTCTTTATTGTTTAACTGCATCTAACGCGAAAGTGAACGACAAATGACAGTGACAGGTGACGTAAGTTACAAATGACATTCTCCTGCAATATTCTTTGATTATATACTTAATCCACAGCCGTCTATAATTATTATAATTAA